TTCCCATTATATTGATCCCATTGAAAAGTATATTAATCTGAAGCATTCTTCTTCAATATTATCATACCAATTATACTTAGTATCTGTATCATAAAGTTGAGTACTTTTTCATTTTTTAAAAATTCCTTACTTTGCTTCGTTTCATCATCGCTTTATTCATAACGAGGTGCACGAATACATTCCATTAGACACTCCAGCGGATACGAGCTTTAACCATAACTTAAGGAAGATGCGAATGGACAGGAAGCGGATTACTCGACAAATTGAATATTCCACCAGCAGACAAGGCAGGCAAGGTTAACTATTTTGTTTTGTTCGGCATGTTACATTTACGATCCTGGAGAGCCAATAGCGTTCGAGATAATCGATGCTGGTGAGAATTTATGCGTGTTTAGCAAAACACTAAGTTACACTATCTAATCACAACTGTCTACCAACAGAATTTCTGACCTCTGAACTCTTGCCGCTTCCATTCTCTGGAGTAGTCTATTACCGTTGGCTATACAGTAGGCTCAAGTTCAGGCCGATGAGGTCAGCCAGCTAGAGTTTCAGGGCTCTGGTAACCACAGACACAGCGTTTGCCATTTTCAAAACATTTAACTGTTACCCATCTAACTAGAACATTTAACTTTATCGCTTCAGCTTTGGTATTCGTACTGTTCTACCTGGTGGCGATAATAAGTCGAGACAGATGACACCAGAATAAATTGAGCCGTCAATGTTTTGTCACTATCCATAAATTTCCCTAGGATACTATTAGCGTGTGTTAACTCAATGTATTACCGGGCTGAACTTTTTTATGTTTCCTTTCTCTCAACTAATTTTAAGCTGCTTCAATATCCAATACTATCGTATATTACTGAGCCATTATTGATATGCTATGTATATATTTTTTAGATCTTTATCAGTCCTTTTTTCAATTACAAATTGCCAACTTCACATGTGTGGCTGATAAAGCTACACAGCCCTGGACACGTATGAAGAGCCATTCTCTAGCAATGTTTTATGTCGCAGATGCGCTGGACACTCTCCTTCAAAATACCTGGCTGACAAATTTCTGTTATCTGTGTATACGAGTGTACAAACAATATTTCTATCAGCGGGTGCTACATGTGGAGAGTTTCGTTCTAGTCGGGACGGCTATTTGTTTTTTTTTTTTTCATGCAGGAGCCAGTGATATTTTTTATCCACAGTTCGATCGTACTTTCAGGATTTTTACGTGGCTTACACCGTTCCGTAGATTTTAAAATCGTATTGTAGTATAGGACCGGTGATGATTCGCCGTGAAGTTTCTCGGCGTCATTAACAAAAAAATCGGACGCGCGAGGATTGCTTAATGTTATTCCTATTCATGGAACTCGACGGGAAAGCATTAACGTCGTATTACTAATTGACGCTCTTGGTTCATGAGCGGGACACCATCCTCATAATGAGTTTCGTGAAACAATACTGGATCTTCTCCTCCATTTAACCTCAGCAAAACGAGAAGAAGCTCTTTAGCGTGCTTTCGCCGATCGTGAATGATTACTCTTGCGCAATTATTTCAATTCAACTTAATTCCTAGTTCTACGACAGCTTGTGCCGGAGCTGCCAGTCGTCATAGCCTAGGTGTGTGTATATATGCATATATACATATAATAGTCACCTACTTTTACCTGACTCTCCGAAACGGCAAATTCAAGTGCCACGTCGTTTTCTGCAAATTACAAATGGCAAATACTTGAGTATTCTCGCGAGAATTGTGAATCTTGTTCAGTCCAGTTTATGAAATATTTAGGCCAACTTCACTCCAATCTCGCCATGATTTTTAATGCTTCGGTTTTCCCAATGTGCATTTATTTCGTACTGACGGCTCTTAACATTGATATTTTAAGCTCCGTGCAAAGTCGTTCGTGCAAATTTCCACGCCGTCCCGCTATCGTTTCACTCGAAACAATGTTATTTCAATATTGAATCGACGTATTGAGTCGTTTGTTATATTCATCGAGTCGATTAATCGAACTTTAATCAATTATCAGTGTCCTGTTAATGAGTACGCGTTATGGTATACAATTGCATCAAATACTTAAATAAATCATTATGCTATTTATTATTCATGTCTCCTTGCAAATTTTCGTGCGTCAAACGAAGTAAAATTTAACGCTGCGCCAATTCTCACGTGTATAAAATGATTTTTCCGATCTTTACGTATCTACGTATTTATTATCTGCATTGTGCTACTTTTTACCGTGACTGTTTTCGTAATACTAGATTCGTCCCTATGTAACTTGTAATCGATAAATCCTAACGATCGACGATACTCTTTCATTTTTGTTTTTAGGTATGGCGAAGGAATCAACTTCTTTTTTACATTACATAGTGCAATCATATTCCACGGTTGCTGGGAAAATTGCAACTTCACCTATCCCATAGTCGCACACACTCGCGTATTTACCTTCACGGATTGCTATACATACGGTATACGGGCGTTTAACGGTCCGTGGTAAAAATATCCCGCGTTGCTTCCTACAGAATGGCGAGCTTCTATTGCACAATTTCCATGATAAATCTAGCAATGGAGACTTTTTTTTTTATTCATCTTGGATATGCGAACACGTTGGCGATACAGAAAGTATTATTTGTCGTCGACTCCCAGTAGTAGACGGTTTTTGTCAATTCTACAGAATACCTGGTAGCTATGTTTATTAAAATTATTTTCCCTTTTCAGATTTTTACAAAGAACCAAATTACTTTTTTTTTTGTTCCCGGATAAAACGGTCATCATATACCTATCAGTGTTTCTAAAGTGGTGCATGCTTACTTTGAGGCGCGTAATTTTTTAGTTTGGTTTATTCCCTTTAGGACATTTTCGATGAATGTAAATTGATTTGCTGTTATTTTTTTCTTTCCCTTAATGGAAAATCAATCATTCGCGCTGTCACACATATCGAATAACTTGGAATGGAATGCGAATGAGAAATGGGGCTTGTTTACAGTATTTTTCAACGTTCTCTCCTTTTTTCTCTTTTTATCCATCTTCTGCCTTGAAAAGAAATGCTTGATATCGCTCATTGATGTGATGAAATATAGGATCGAATCCGACCACATGTGTTTTGCAATCAAGTTTTGCATATCCGTGCGAATATATCGTTCTCATTTATAGTTTAAGCTTCCTCTCTGCTATTATCGAAACACGTAATTTGTTCTCGGGGAGAATGAAGTATTTCGAATTTATGGAAAATCGGCCTCTTGCCCACAGAAAATATAGAATTCGTAAAGAATTCTATACACATAGATATTCCAGTAATTCATATGTGTTCGCCGAGGGATTTTCCAGATTTTTTCTTTACATCTGCATAATTAATTTTATCACGAACGAACTGCATATAAAGATACCTGACAAATCGATCCTTCCATGATGGTCCCACGTTTCCGCCGCGCAGCATCTTTTACGTTTATTGGAACGTTAGGATGTATTCGAGGAAATCTTTAAATTATATAGAAAATAATTAATCAGGATGATAACGAATTCGAGGGTGGACAACAAGGAGGATTGAATAGGGAATATTAAGAGGCACGGTAGTTTTTCAAATGGGAGACATTACTCACAGTTTATTTAGCAACGCTGAGTTCTGCTTCAGGCTTTCGACAAACTTTTCAGTTATAGATGACTAGGTAGCAACGGCAACAAAGAGAGATAAATGAGAAATTTCAATCGCGTAGAGATAACACCGGAAAAAATGTGCACGTGTGTATTTTGAAAAAAAGAACCTAAATGATATTTTACATTAGTACCTACAGGTGACTGGTAATTATGGTTTCTTTGAATCCCGTAATTCTTACAAATAACTGTGGCCAGATGCGACAGGGAAAAAAATTGATAAATTAAATTTAGTATTATCTGATTGCAAAATGATTTTTTTTTATTGTTCCGCACTAAGTATATAAAAAGACTATAAATCTCTTTGAATGATGAACCACAAATCTCCTTGATATTATTCGTTCATCTGCTTCAGTACTACGTAAAAGGAGTAGGCCGATTTGACAATCTGAAATAAAAGATGTTCGATGTTATTCGCATATGCGGCGAAATCGAATGGATCTGACGGAAAGTCGTTTCGCGAGGAGAATTACGTAACGAGTAAAGGAAAGCAGGGACAGGTGCACAGAAATTGATTCACGGGCGATGGATGACCGAAGCGCGGAATCTGAATTGGATCCGGAAAAAATTGCATTTTCGTACACACCGTTGATTATTGGATTTGCAAGGGTGCATCCTGACTCTTCAAATTGAACGTGTCATTGTTATTCAATATGGATACCTGATATTTTTACGAATATCAGGCAAAGTCTCTATGGGAAAGCGCGAAGGTATAAGATTTCGTATATCTCATGAATATACCATTAAAATATCCATTATAAATATATTGCGCAATACAGTATCCGACACTATATTACGAAGATACAAAAGAAAATAGAAATTTTCGATAAATTGCATCGATTGTAACCGCGTCTTTCGTTATGGCTCATTTAAAGTTTTTTCGAGTTGACCAAAGCTCAAATTATCATAAGTGGCAGTAACTCATAAAAAGTTCCTCGTGCGGTATGTTTTGCGCTCTGGGTCGTACAGAGCGAAACGTTTTAATGGTCTACCGGGACGAATATGTTGCTTCCACGTAAAGCAGGGAAAATTTTATCACGGTAGATCGAGGTTAGCCATAACGATTATTCGTGGACTTTTGTTCCCTTGTTAACTAAAGCACATTAGTTATCATTTATACGGAGACCATGCGCTACGTATAATATGCATGCATAACACTTGATCCCGGTAGTATAATACTTAAGGTGCATATACACGTATGATATTCGAGAATTGTACTTCCTTCCTACCGCATATACGCGTACGGTAAATATAGAGCTCAAAAGTGTTACAAAGTGCAATATTTATTATGACGAAATATATGCAATAATACCCACAGAGAAAAACGTATCGATGGAAAGCGTGAAAAATCCACCTACTACCAGTCTCAGTGGCGTCTTCATTTGCGTCATCATTATTTGAATCGATTGCTTATATTTCTTTGAACTTGGTACCCAGTGACTTTCGTACGGAGCAGATAGGAGTTCGCTGGACTGAAATATTTTTTTAAAATTTAATTTAATTAAATATATATTATATACGTACATTTTTAATATAGAATTTTATGCGGTTATTCAGACCACGCAGTCTTGCTTGAGACTCTACCATCGCGGCTAGGTCTCGCATTTTATACCGCATTACTTTGACATACCTGATAAATTCATATTGCTGCCTCTTTGCGAATACTCGTTCAACTTTACGCTATACCACGTTGGCATGTACGGATTGCGATGGGCGAGATGTTACATATTATATGGATGTAGAGAGAAAGATCTATACGTAGAGTCTCACGTGCTGACACATGTAGATATCTTACCAGTGGCGGTCACATCTCTCAAGGTGTATGTTTCCAGTAACTTTATTGATATTACATAGATCGGTGTACTTGAATATTGAACGGGTGCACTATCCCACTAGTGGGAGACCAGGATCCCCTCCATGTTCGAGAACACCCCAGGATCCATCTCTGAGCTATCCACTGCCTTAAAGTACTTGGCCATATAACCACCCCAAAGACCCCTTCGCCGCTTCCTGCCTTCTTCCTAATACCGTACTTATCTTCATTGCTTCCTGGCTCGAGAAGTTTTTACAAGACCCTCCCCTATTTCCGCCCGCATACTTAACGCCCTGCTCTTTCTCTCACTCTGCACGTAATGTCGCTCTAAATATTTCGTAATCGATGCTTATGCGCTCAGATGCATCAAGTGTTTTTCAAGTAAAATAGTATTTTATCTGGCTAGTACGAATGAGTATAAGACAAAAGTGTGAAGTCTCAATCAGAGTGTGAAGTTCCAACCACGCGAGTCTTATACTTATTCGTACTAGGTAGATACATTTTTTTTTGTAAAAATGCTCAAAGATAATTCCGTCTGGCTTTTTTTAATCGAGATGGCGCTGTCAACCTGCCTAAAAATATTTTTCAATAGGTTTCCCTTGAAAATATTTCAGATGCCTATGCCGTTAGTGGGGTGCAGGAAGTTAGCCCCCCATAATTCGAAAATTCCGGTTCTACTTGTTGTTCTGGCTTGTTCTAAGTTTGTTCTATAATGTTCCAGAAAAACAACTTTCTCAACTGAAATTTGTAGCGATGAGGCGAAAAAAAAACACTTTTTTACTGGAACCCACCACTTATGGGAAATCTAACTTTTTTGGTTGTTCCAGATTGTTCTAGTTGTTCTAAATATTGTTCCAAAATATTAATACCGCTAAGTAAAGAATACTCGAATGGGATCAAAAAACCGTTTTATGCATAGCAAGTAGAGATAGGACCATTTCGAACGATTTCCAGGTGATTCCAGCTTGTTCTAGGTTTCCCTAGGTTTTTCTAAGTTTCTTAAGTTACCCGATAACGATCGGGTAGTCGCAAGTCGGATAAAAGTAGGAAGAAACGATTTTATATGCATAAAACGATTTTTTTGATCCCATTCGAGTATTCTTTACTTAGCGGTATTTATATTCTGGAACAATGTTTAGAACAACTAGAACAACCTTGAACAATAAAAGAAGTTTGATTTTCTATAAGTGGGGGGTTCCGATAAAAAAGTGTTTTTTTTTTTCGTTTCACCGCTACAAATTTCAATTGAGAAACTTGTTTTTCTGGAACATTGTAGAACAAACTTAGAGCAACTCAGAACAAACAACGGAACCGGAATTTTCGAATTATGGTGGGGTAACTTTCCAGACTTACGTTACTGTCTTAAATCTTCCAGGTAATTTTATAGTAATTTGTACAAATAATAATATTTTAAGCTGCGACACATTACACGGCACTCTTCGAGCATTTGTTCCAAAAAATAGGAAACGTAAAAAAATAATTTTTTAAAATCCAACTATCGTTGATCTTTTGGGATACGATTTACTAGCGATCGTGAGCTTTTATACCTCTTTTCTATGATTTCGTTTCCGTGCCAGCAGTAACAAAAGATTTGAAACAGCATGCACACCATGTATTGTAGCATAGAGGCGAATTCCATGGAGTTTGGCGATACCTGAAAACACGTTATAAGTTATTATTCCGAATCGTACCAGCGGCCAATGATTCATTGTCTAATTTTAGTTTAGTAGAGTATAGTTCATAGCTCCGGAACATTTAAGTTGGAGTGAACCGGCATTGGAATGTTGTGGGATGTTTCGCGGAGTACCTGATGTATAGATATATACATAAGGAAGAATAATGGCGCACTGGACGTTGGGTCTAACCTCCCGTGGGAAAGCTAACGAGATATGCAAATGCCACGTTAAACGCGCCCTCTCGCTTATTTCTTGTTAAAACATTTATATGAATATTACAGCCAAAATTTTTTCATTTTCCATGCACTTAATCATCAAATATACGTAAACGTTAGTTAAATCTTATTTTTATTTAAATAAATTATACAAAGTTCACGATAAGCACCGTCTCATTTACCACGATGAAAAATATTAATTGGTTGAATAAAGTTTGTAATAATTTTATTCCGACAGATGTGATATAAACAAAGTGTGTACGTCATTTTCCTTCCGTCCTCTCGTTACCCAGCTAATTTGCTTTTAGGAACGTTAATTACTGCCTGCCTCGTAGTCTACTGGTTCTTTGTCTTGCGGTGCATTATTGTACATAAGCGCGGGACATAACTCACCAGACTTAACTCGTAACACGTCAGGCATATAATAACGCTGCTGACCAGAAACTGGGACATGATACCAATTTGAAATATGCCACGCACGTCGTTGGTAAATCTGAAGAGATTATATTAAAATATATTAATACAATTTAATAAATGTAAAAAAGCGTCTGTCACTTACACTCAGAGAAATTTCTATAGCTGTAGTTACTACACAGGTTATGCGGCAATTCGAAACGGCCAACTGTTCGTGATTAGTTTGCGTTTTATAATTACGACAACTGGAAAATTTCTCTGATTATACGCACGTAATTGTTGACTTAATTTTTATACATACTTGACAAGAGCTGTAAAATGTTCGATATTTGCAGGAATTCGCGCGTGTAAAATATCCTCGTATCCCGTTGCCTCACAAACGTTTGCAACGTTCACAGTTTCGCTCGCGTCATTTAGTTCATATTTGGGACTCGATTCTGCCATCCCGACTGTCTTATTGGATATCGCAAACATAAGTTTGCTGCGATACATTTTGATGGAATTAACGTAGGCGATTTCTGCCTGCGTCATCTTGGAAATATCATTTGCCAGTGACAACAGATTGTCTTTAGGCATGTCTATTTGAGCACCCATGAGAATCAGCAGACCCGAAGTCAACGTGTCCACCATTACGTTGACGCACGCGTTCAGAAGCACCGACGTTACTTGATAGATATACGCGAACTCGTATGCAGGACTTACGGTCACGTTAAAAGGAAACCACCCCATTAAAGGCAATTCCTTGACCTTCAATATCAAATTTGAAAAGTTACGCCAGTACGTATCCCGTGGAGCTCACTAAGCGTTGTTGTTTAACTTTTGTTTTTCATTTTTATCAACTTTTTAGTATTAATTGTTTAAATTCGTCTTACCTCACTTTTATTGATTAACGGTAACATTGCCCAACACAGTATCGTACTGACGGTGAAAACGTAGAATATCATGGTATCACGTCTTACACCAGTCATTGCTGTCTTCATGACAGTAAAGTGCTTCGGTCGCTTCGGTATAAACATTGGTTCCTTCAGCTGCAAAAACATCCTTTCCAGATGCTTTTGTCGGAATAGAAAATTCACGAGCTTTACCGATTGCCCGATGCGCGTGAATAATAGGAAAGAGCAGTCGACCATCGCTTGAACATCACCCCATATCGCTGCCACGAAAGCAACTTCGAACGCGAAGTACAGCACTGCGAAGACGGCTAGAACGCCAAATGCGTAAAATCTGTATAACATTCTAAAATGATTGATCACGTCGAGTAGCGTATTCATTTTGACAGATGACACTCGGGAGTTTTATTTAATAAATGTTTGATAATTAACCTTAATATCGGATTCTTCATACCAGCCACCCACAAACCGTCTACCCGAAGGTAGATGAAATTCAGAGCAAATGCTTTTTCAGGATCGTATTCTTGGCTCATTGTCGACCGTTGAATAGGAGCAACTCTTGTTTACTACTGGAGGATCCTACTGACGTTTACTGCAGGGCGCTTCACTTTAGTTATTAAAACAAGGAGGAGGCGCCGGGATTGATTGCCAAGTAGCCGAAGAGAAGGCGGAGCTGCTGCTTATAGCTTGAGGAAGAAACTGCCTCATTATAAAATCATGTGTAATACGAGAACTGCGTTTCAATTCTGTAGGAATAGCAGCGTAATTTCTCAAGAGACATTTTTTACTATACCTGACCCCAATTTCCTCTAAATTCGTTGATCTGATTTCCTTCAGTTAGGATCCCCTGTGAACACTTCGAGAGGGGCTGGACTGCCATCCAAATGAATGTATCGTTCTTGCAAATACTTTATACTGTGCTATAGTAAACCTTTTTTCTATACGTGTCTCCGTTAAGCTGGATATGCCAAACGGATTTCATTTAAATAATTTTCCTAACATCATCCGCGTGGGTAGGAATTTTTGATTCTAACTCGACCATCGGTGTCTACTTTTATACACGTTTTCTCAACTGCGAGACTTGAACCTCCCAGAGGGATTGCATGGGTCAAATTGAATGCATCTGAAATTCATAGGACGACACCGATGCTCAACGAGTTCGTTAACTTGTTAGCACGATCGATGCGTCTGCAGTTTGCAGTTTGTCTTATGGTCAATTTCCTTCGCTCACGGAACTCACTTTGTCGAATGAAATTCGATTACACGTAAGAGTCTTATTTCACAAGATGCCTTTTATGCGTCACGCGAATTTGGATCTTGAAATTGAATCTACCGAAACACGATATCTCGTCTACATACGAACTTTGGTTATATCCACGTGCCGTGAAAGTAACAGTAGGAAATTGTCGATGCTCCATTCCTCTCTGGAAGAGTGGATATCGTTATTTTTTTTATCGACGAATATCGATCAACCGGAAGTCCCAGTTGCGAATATGCTCACTCGTTAAATCAACTCGAAGAGATTTTTTAGACTGAAAGGAGGGTTGAACGGCTGATGACGCAGTTATGCAGATAGTCAGAATCTCTTTTAATGGTAAAATCATTATTTCTTGTTCCATCGTTAAAAATACATATATCTATATGTCATGTTGAAATATTCTATAATACAGTGCACTTGCGTAGTCAATACTTTTTATACACGTATGTTGAGATGCTTTCATGTTTATGTTTATGCAACCTAATTGGAACTATGTTGTGCGAAAACTGTGTAGGTACCGCTAAGATAAACAGACTTTGGTTGTTCCGTACGACGATTCGTGTAAACAGACTTTAGTATTCCATCGCGTGCTACATAGACAGAATGTGTACTTGAGTTGAGGATGTGAACAGAAAACATTTTGTACCGCGGAACTTCCGGTTGCCACGTATATTACGTAGCCACGGCACACTGTCTTTAAGATAATTACTTATTGGCATTAAACGTCATGATGTTACGAAGGGAGAAATTAAACGTTTTCCGAAAGGACCCATCAGCGATGATATGCAAACCGTAACGACCACTTGGCGAAGACATTACGGGTATTATAAAAGGGTTCAAACCCTCGGCGCATTTAATTGCGTTCATCGATCGTATGTCGTACACGTCGACTATAAACGAATACGGCTCAATTTAAAACCCAGTGTTTTTTTATACTTTTTTTATCATTTCTCGTATAATTATATAGAGGGTATGCTTTTTTTTTATAAATCTCACTATAATCTTTTTTTTTCGTCCCCAATTGACATGCAGCCATCGAACCATATTATCCCGATTTATGCGAATATAACGTCTAGTTAGAGACAGACTGTGCTGGAATATCGTCCTTGTATTTTTAGTGGATCTATCGATCGCCTTTAATCGTAGCTCATTTTATATCGGTTCAGTCCAAAGATTCCCCGTTTTATCATTGTCAAATAAAATCCTAGCAGACGTGTCGTCGCGACTGCGATACAAATCAATTTTTTCGTCAACCTCCAATTTTACGAAAAAGAATCGGTCGCAGCAATAAGCTAGATAACCAAGGCGATACGAGAGATAGGAATTTCACTGAAATTTCACCAGTTGTTTAATACATGGACTGCTCGTTCTTTCGAGAGGTCAGGAGGTCATTAAGTCTGGGATAATATGTATCTATCGTCTTCTCGGCACGTTAAAATTTATGTTTGATTAAGCTTATGGGGGCGTCGTAAACTCGTAGTCTCACGAGGAATTGCGGCACCTGATGAAAGCAGCTCGCGGAGGGATGGTCGGGGGTGGCAGGTATACCTGTTAATATACGCGTCATACAGTAACTCAGTGTTACCAGCGGTTCGCCCCCATAGTGTTAACAGTGCCCTTCCACCCTCTCTGTATCCATGCAAATGTGTTCCAATAGTCTACTAAGTGATTTACTTGTTTAATAATCTGCATTGACTACCACAATTTATGGCTCGTTTGCGTAATGCATGTCCTACCAGCATCCCCGAAATGCTCGCAGCAACCATTACTAAGTTGGCGCGCGTCTCAAAGTTCCTGCAGCAAATATAATTACCGTGTAAGGGCCGATAATATCAAGGCGAGAAGTACCCATTTCGATCATTCAGGGCGTGATTAAGGCGGCCTTTACGTAACTTTACGTTACACATTAAATTAATTAAAATACGCCCATCAGTTTTTAATGGCAGAGTATATTATTTTTTTAACTCATTTTATCACGTAGTCCCTTTACTCGGTTAGTCGCTCATTTGTATTTTTGTTCTATACTTTTATCCGATTATCGCTCTTGTTAAACGACAAAAATGTAATCTGTGTGTACATTGGTGCTGGTAAAACGTGATGATAAATTGCGAATTCTGTGAAGACTGGGAAAAAAGATTACAGCTTCTTTTATACGCGACAAAATGCCTTATTTGATTTTCGTTTAATGAGCTCGCGAGATTAAGAGGGAAAAAATTGTTTAGCATTGATTCTCCCGTTGACGTATAAAATTGCCCCTGTATAAATTCTTTACGTATATGTGATTTTCTTTCCGTACATTTTCGCTCTAATTTAGCCTCATTTTTACCCAACTGCGGAAGAAGATGGGTAATGTCGACTGTAATGTTTTATTACTGATTAGCGCTGTCGACACAGGTACCTTATAATAAATCTATAATCAAAGAGGCGGTATTAATCGAATTTGTTTGTTCTATCCACTTTTGTAGTAGCTATGGACAAATTTTTTCTCTATAATAAAAAATAAAATCACTCCAAATTTCACTATACTCGTCAAAAATAATCACGGTAAAAGCTTAATAACAAACATACAGCATTAGAATACTATGAGCACATGCAAAGTAAGAATTTTGGAATTCCTGGCACGGACCCGCCAAGTAGTACTCGATAAGAAATCACCTAAAGTTTGTGACGTGATTTTTCGAATCACGGTCCCAAGGCGGCTTCGGTTACCGATACAGATAACGTTCTTGATTTCTGGTTCCCTTTGGGTCAAGGCTCTCGTAAGATTTTGTTATTGTTTAGTTGAGGTCGAGGTGCTCGAATCTGCCGTGGGGAGATAGTCTCGACGTACCGAGTTGCCCGGCAGAGGAGAGTACCCGACGGAGACGTCTCCACGGACCGGCAGAAGCCCGGGTGA